GGGGGGGGGGGGTCGTCAGCGTGAGGGTTCATGAGGGAAGAGGCTGCCTTTAACGTTTTAGCTAGTGCACCAGTATTGCGAGCCACTAGCTTAGCATTACGTCAGTGCCTACAGGTGGTTTGGGCGGGGGGGTCTGCACGGTTCTGTTGACAGGGCGAGGCGCCCCGCTTGTACAACGATAGGGGAAACGCTGTATCTAATATGTTTCTGCTCCTCCATCAGGTCTTTTGATCATACAGTGAGTAGTGATGAGGAACTGGAGGAGTGGAGGCCTCCAGAGCCAAAAACTATCAAGACTCCCAAAGATCCTGCAGCCAGGGTGAAGAAAGTGGCAGCCAAGAGAACTGCTAAACCAAGAGTTCCCAAAGAACCAAAAGTGTCTCGAGCTCCAAAGCCAAGTGTATCAAAAAAACCTGCCGCAAAACCAAAAGCTGCCGCCTCTAAAATAAAGAATCCTGGTGTGTCTGCATCGTTTGGAACAGAGAAAAAATGGACTGATGAGAATTGTTGTGAAAACAACAGCAAAACAGAGGCTGGTGATTTAGAAGAAGGAACGGTTGACAAAAGTGGTTCCGATATTGGAATGAAGGAAGAGGTAAGCTTATTTACTGTTTTAGTAAAAGTATACGTGCCCAACGAGGTTTAGTCAGGTCCTCTGGACAGATTCTTGTTTGTTGAAAATGTTTATTCTTTTATCCAAAAGACTTCTTCAGTCTGAGGTCTTGAAACAGTCTGAAGGAGCCTTATGGATGAAAGATGAAATGTTCCAACAAACAAGAATCCGTCCAGAGGACCTGACTAAACCTTGTTGGATTTTTTTCTACCTGGATTATTGCGCATGCATCATCAGGACAAAAGTATACATGCTTTTTCTAATTTGTGTTTACATTTAAAAACATATGGAGCATTTACGTCTTCTCTTAGGGGTTTGTCACAATAAAAGCACACACCCTAATGTCTTGATGCATAGATACAGAGATGTAGATGCGGTAATGAAATTGATCCATTTCTTAAGGTGGACTAGAACCTCTGCAACATAACTTTACACTGTGTAGTGTAGGGCTTTTGGATCTCATGCTAATAATAATAATAATAATAATCTATTTTGGTCACTGATATTCTATTTGTTGCTCAATGCTCTTTTGTAGAGGTTATCATTTATTGTGTCAGAAGCCCACAAGACAGACGAATGGGCTGCTGCAGGATCATCACAAGCTGGGCCTCCGCTAAAGAAGGAAGAAGCCACAGAGGAGGATTTTACTTTTGATGAGCCTTGTCTAAAGAAACAGAAGACCTGCCAGGGACAACGAACTACTTTACTAGAGCCCAAAGTACAGTCTCTCAAGAATGAATTCAGCATGAACTGGGACATGGCTGAGGTATAGCAGAGTTTGTCTTCACTTTTGTCAAGTGATAAAACGTGTAACATATTGATTCTTTGACTTTGTTCTAGTTGATTATACTTTTTTCAGTTGCTAGACACGTTGCAGCTCTTGAATAGTTTAATTTAGTAAAATTAAAGACAGCTCATGGGCAAAGTAGCCAGGGCCATAGTGAATCATAAATACAATAATAAAATGAATGAACTGTCATTTTAATAAAATTGTAGCTGCCTAGAAATTTTACTTTATGTGGACAGTGGGGTGCCATGGTTGCGAGTGAACAGGATATGAAAACAGTTTGACACTTTATAGCAACTTGCTGTTCTCCCTTTATACTGAGGTACCATCTTTTAAAGAGTTGTCCATATTGTGAACTTAATAACCAAAGTGTTAAAGTCACTTATTAGTAAAATCAAAAAACTTAAAAAAAGGTTAGCTATACTAAACTTTCTTCTACTTCACAATTTTATTGCCTTCAATGTTATGCAGTGCATTGTATGGAAAGAAGAAGACAAAAAACACTTTTCTAACACTTTTATTTGAAAACCATAACAGAAACTCAGTATGCAAAGTGTTTTAGGGTTATTATGTTTATTTTGTTACTGTTTGTCTTTTTCTACTTGCATACTTAAATTTAATTTATTGTTGCTGTTGTCGTCCTCAGCTGCTTTCCTCTATGGCGTGTGTAGAGATGTGGGTGTGCAGAAATATCATTATGCTGCTACGTGAGGAAAATACAATTCCCTTTATAGTGCGCTACCGAAAAGAGATGATCAACCACATGGATGCAGATACTGTCCGTGATGTCCAGATGATTTATGAGGAGTTGTGGTAGGTAAAAATGAATGTAGAAGAAATAAATTATAAACACATCAAAAGCTAATTTCATTTTAAGGTGTTATATTGATTATGACCACTAGATGGCGATAGTGGCCAAGCTCTGAACCCTAAATTGTTGAAAGAGTCTTCTGTATTAGTTATAAGTGCTTCTTTGCTTATGTGTTGTTGTTTTTTTTTTGTGCGTTTTCTTTATGTATCTGTATTTCTTTAGTACACTTGTCAAAAAGACCCAGTCTGTGATTCAGACCCTAAAGAAGGACGGAGTTTTGACACTTGAATTGGAGCAAAGTATCAGGAGCTGCAGATCGGCCGATGAACTGGATCATGTGGTCAGAATAATTTTTCATTTTGAAGTAATATCTATCACTCAGGTGTGAATTTCAGGTTGCATTGTTCACATATGAGCCTCTGAAACACTTTTCTGTTAATCTCACTGCTTTTTTTGTTCAGTAGCTAAAAGTTTTTGATCTGATATTGATAATTTTCAGGTCTGGATACCTGTAGAAAATAAATACAGCATGGAATTTTTGTTGTTGTGTTGATTATAACTAATGTTTTTTTTATTCAAAACAAATAAACAAACAAGCACCAAGCAAACAGAAACAAATCTACACAAAAAAATGACACAACCAATAAAATAAATAAATTAAACGTAGATAATTGGCAAAGCCACAATATTAACACTTTTTTGTGAAATTTAGTCATAAATGCAGCACTAGAATAATAATTTGTGAATAAATGCTCCCCCTTATGCAGAGCTGGCATCAAAATTGACTACAAAAATCCAAATACTGTACCCATAAAATAATTACAAATTTTTATAAACTAGGTAGTTAAAAAAACAAATACTAAAAATGATCAAATATAAGAATTTTTTGTGCAATATAGTTTTTTTTTTTTTTAATAAGAAAAACAAAACAAATCTGCCTGAACATCATGAAAGCTCCCAAAATCAGAATGGCACATTATTTGCAGGTTTTCTTATGTACTTTTTGGATTCTTATTTAACACTCTGCTTTTTTTAAAATTAGAAATAAACTAT